TGTTAAATATAGAGTAATCTAAAAAAAATACAGTGAAGCTATAAGAGAGAGTGATCAAGCATAATTTTAAAAAGAATATAAAAATTTTAGAAAATTAATTTTGTGTTGTATTCATGCTGAAATGTGCATGCCAAAGGAAACAACAACAGCAACAACAAAGCCTTAATCCCACTACGTGGGGTCGGCTACATGAATCTCTTTTCTCCATTGTGTCCTATTTGGTGTCATATTTTCATTTAGTTCTAGTAAATTAAGATCATTTTTTATAAAATAAGTCCAAGCCTTCCAAGGTCTACCTCTCCCTTTCTTAACACAAGTCGAATCTAAAACATCTACTCTTCTAATCGAATCATCAGATGGTTGACGTTTAATGTGATCAAACCATCTAAGACGACTTCCTCTAATTTTGTCCGTCACAGAAGCCACAACAACCCTATCACGGATAAATTCATTTCGCATTTTGTCTCTATGCGTGAAGCCACTCATCCACCTAATCATTCTCATCTCAGCAACACTTAACTTATTATTATGCTTCTCTTTTAAAGGCCAACATTCAACGCCATAGAGCATTTGGTTAGTCCTCCTTCAGTTTGAGCACAAGTAACAACTCTAGCATACATATCTTTAATGACTTGAATATAAGTCATATCAACACCTTTCTTCTCAAGAACTCTCCAAAGGATATCTCTTGGAACCTTATCGTAAGCTTTTTTAAAATCAATAAGAATCAAATGTTGATTCTCCTTATTATCTCTGGACTTCTCCATCAAACCTCTCAATAAATGTATAGCTTCCATAGTAGACCTGCCCGACATAAATCCAAATTGATTATGAGAAATCTTTGTAATACGTCTTAACCTATGCTCAATTACCCTCTCTCATAACTTTAAAGTATGACACATCAACTTAATTCCTCTATAATTTACACACTCTTGTGCATCCCCTTTATGCTTAAAAATGGGGACCAAAATACTCTTCCGCCACTCATCGGGCATCTTTTTAGTTTTAAAATAATATTAAAGAGTTTAGTAAACCTAGAAACACCCAAATCTCCTAAATATTTCCACACTTCAATTGGGATATCATCAGGTCCTACAGACTTTCCACCCTTAGTTTTCTTTAAAGCCTCATCAACTTCTTTTTTACTAATGTGACGGTAAAAATGAAATATTTTTCAGAAACTTCATTAAAAAGTTTATCAAAATAACTCACCCACTTATGTTGAATATCTTTTTCTAAGAAAAATACTTTTTAATTTTCATATTTAATACACTTTACTTGAGTCAAATCTTCATTTTTTTTTGTCTTTTTTTGGCTAGTTTATACATATATTTTCACCCTCCTTAGTATATAATCTATTATAAAGATTATTAAAAACAGAATTTTTAGCGTCATAGATTGTTCTTTTAGACTCTGTGAGGTGAGGGCCGTTTGATATTTTTCTCAGTTCTCTAAGCATTTACATTTAAACCAATTTTTATAACATAATTTCTTATATTTCATCTTTTCTTGCACATCATCTTTTCTTGCACATTATTATTTCTTGCACATTATTATTTCACCACCAACTATTTTTTATTTATAATTTTTTTTTCTTTTGATTCCCTAAGCACATCTTTTGCTATTTGTTTAATAGTGTCTGTTACTTTATCCCACATAACATTTGCTTCTTCATGAACTTCCCAAATTTTGAAATTTTAAATTTTACTCATAAAAAAATTTTATTTGTGTTTTTAGGTTCCCCCGTCTAATCCTTCAGTTTTATTTTATTTGTGCATGCCAACGGAAAGTTGAAGTTATTAAAGATATATATTATGGAACACCAATTAGTAATCTACAATAATTATGGAAACACACAGGAGTCCAATTATAGTATTTTTACATCAATTATCAATATTGAATCCATATTTTGTTAGAATATTGAGAAGTGATAACAACTATCAATCAAAACTAACATAAGATAAACTAATACGTAGAGGTATGATAAATTTAAATATTTTTTATCCATTATACAAAATAATTAAGATATACATGAGTATAATTTCTAGCGTTAAGACTAGGTGGCACAATTTGAGAAGTGATGTAGAAGTATTAAACCATAAGAGAATACGAGTAAGACTTGAAAGGTAAATTTTATAAAAATAAAATTAGGTAGATTATGTTTTATGAACATAAGTACTAAGCCAAAAAAAAATCATTGATAGCTAAGTTAAGCACTTGATATAGATGTGTAGCAAAATTAATAAAGATAAATTAAGAAATGATTATACAACAGGAATGATAAAAGTGAATTTTATAAACTAACAATTAGGTTAATTATGTTGCAAGAACACAAGTATTGGTCCATAAAAATATATTGAAAAATAAATTAAACATGATAAAAATGAAAATATTAAGATGGATGTATAATATAACTAAAAAGATAAACTAAGGAATGATTACATTTAAAGTATAATAGAAATGTCATATATTGAAGATAAGATGGATTAAAAAAAACTTTGATGGTTTGGAAATACACAACAGATCATAGAAAAAGCACTCAATAGATGGGCAGATGAAATTGATGTCGGAAGATTAGGAAGGAATATGGGTGACCTAAGGTAACATTGATAAAAAAATGTTCAGAATGATTTGAAAAGATATTTAATACCTCAAGCAACGATCAATAGAAATGAATAAAAACGAGGATTCATAAAACAATTACAAAAACATTGGAATATGATTGTATGATTGAAGATGATGATAATGAGATGATAAAAACAATAAAACTCCGCCAAGGAGTTAAGTGCTTCTAGAAAGCAATTCAAAATGAGTAATTTATGCTCTAATTGTCTTATATATATATAGGCATTATTTTTATCATGACGATCTATTAGATGAACAATGATGATTCAAATAAAAAAAAACATACCATGTATTCAGCTCCAAGCCCATCTTTACCAAACTCTACATTATAGGATCATTACTATATAACATACTGAATTAAAATGGAAAATGAATCCACTGCTCAAGAAATGGTTCATCAATAAGATGTTGAGTTCTTATAAAGTTCCTATATATTGCTAACAGAAAGAATGGGAGCTACTGCAAGTTGGCTAATTGCTACTTCAAATAAACATTGTAAAATATAGAATTCTCATTCTTACACCTAAGGGTGTGCTTGATACTCAATGGCAAGGGTAGTTTATGAGGGATATAAATCATGCCCTCCCTCTTTTAATTGTTATTCTTCTAGTTGCCTATTTTAATGACATTTTAAATTGTACAAGCAAAGAACATAGTGAGCATCTTAAAAATGTTCTTCAGGCCCTAAAAATGCTTCTTACCTCTTTTGTTATCTTCTTAAAGCTATTCTTTCAAGTGATGGATATAACTCTTGATCCTGAAATTAAGGAGATTACAAACTAACTAATAGTAATGAGAATAATAAATTTTCTCTATAAAAGAAATTTTAAATTGTAAAAAAGTTACTAATTTTGCATTTCAAAACATAAAAGAAAATGTTACAAGTGCCCAAATGTTTGGATTGTCTTATTTTAGCAAATACATCGAGGTTATTTGTGAAGCCTCTAGAGCAATAAAAGGAGTATTGTGAGCAAGGTTATCGAGTTTCTTATTTTATTAAAAACTCATTTAAAACCATGAAAAGAAGTTCAACCTATGAACAAGTAGTATGGAAAAAGTACAATTTCGTTGATATTGGGGATATCATCACCTGCCCATAACATTTATTTTTTTTCACTTATCATCAAAGCATAAAGTAATTCACCATTTTCCCTCCTCATCCCATCAGAGACCACTGTGCTTCTTCCTCCAACCCCATTGATTCATTATTCCACACGCATACCTCAACATATTCTATTTCATGATTTGTTATAGCTTTTTCTTCTCTCGCAGGCTTCCCATAACTTCAAGTCTTCATCCCTTTCCCATATGTTATGCTTATCCCTTAATTTTATGCAACTATATTTCTCTATTTCGTTATGCATTTAATGATGACAAAATCTTATAATTAGCAAAAATGAGATGTACAGTATCACTGAGATATGTATTATTTTCTATTTTGGATATTTCTCTATTTTGATAGCCTTTTAACCGCCCAAATTGTCATATTTGGAAGAAATAAGATGAGACTCAAGAGCATATGGCTTTGATTTTTGGTTTCCCCCAATTTTTATATTTCTAAGAGAAATTAAATGCATGAAACAAGGAACAACGATGATCCCAACTTGGTTATTGGTTCTATTGTGCTAATTTATAAGATCTATGATATTAAAGACAAGGTGAATCATGCTTCTTATTATGAAATGATTAAGTTACAAACAAATCATTAATAACCAAGTTGAATATTGCACAAATGATAATATTGCGATAAAAGTGCGGCAAAATTAAGGATGATATATTGAGAAATTATTATATTAAAGGACAATGGGAATAGCATCTATTGAAAATTGTTTCGCAAACAAAAAAAGGTGTTCGGGCATGACAAAGATAGAAACTGCAAGAATAGAACAAGTAGATAAAATTAATGCTAAAGGAATAAAAAGAAAAATAAGATAGACTTAAAAGTGTTGTAGACAGAATTGTATACAAATTTATGCAAAAAAGATTTAACACCTCATATAAAGCTCAATGGAAAAGGATGGAGAATAAATATTCATAAAACCAAGCTAAATAATTGGAATAAAACTAATGATGATGATGATGATAGTGGTGGTGGTGATGATTGCGAAGCCTCACCATGACTCATAATAGTAAAGTTCGATGGCTCAATCTCAAAACATGCACATGAAAGTTCCTAATTCCATATATTTCCCTCCCTTTTAAAAATGAATAATATCCATTTATACTATAAAGAGCATTCCTACTGTTCCCATTGCTCACAGAATATCTAATGCAAAAAAGTATTTTTGCAGTTTGTAGCTATAAACATAAAATTCTCTTCATGCAAATTGCACTATCTGAATTTTACCAACAGCAAATAAGGCGGCGAACTATACCATTTGATGAGTGACCCAAAAAGAAAATGCTGCATGATGGGCACCTTTTCCAGCACCTCTGCCTTGTACATCTTGAGTAGACCACTGTTGACTTTGGTCCAAGTGGGTACACCACTAATATCATCGAGCATAGGTGAGTGCTCTGCAAACACCCCCTTCTTCACCTTCCTCACGAAAGACACACAAGCCAGGTACATATACTCGTTTGAGAAATTATCCAATATATCTTGATTATGTATCGACTTGGGTTTCATATACTTATGATCAATTAGCTGCGCCGATCCAAAGATAAACGGAAGAAAGTGGTAGTCATCCAAACCCCACACCCCGTGAGAGCCAGCTGGCTCAAGGCAATACATAGTTTGCAACTTCCTCATCAGATGCAGGTATGCAACAAACACGCGAATTACCAGGGCGGGATAGTCCTCCTCCTTTATGAGCCCAAGACGTGCAAGGCAATAGATGAATGCAACGAAATTGGCCTCATGACCGGTACCATAATCTATACGAGAGGCGTTGCCGAAGGAGTCAAGGAGATAAGGAAGGAGCTCATCAGTGGCAGGACGAAGCTCTTCCGAAGTCAGAAGAGGAAGAAAACCAATGAGCTTCCCTCATCGGAAAGCTTTTCGTACCAGGAGCGGTAAGCTGGGTTTCCATAACGAGATGAATGGGGGAGTGGCGGAATCTGATCAACCCATTTGTCTAGGGTTTCAATTATGGAGAGAAGGGAGGAGATAGCGGGAGATAGAGATAAAACGGGATCGTGGATTTTGCGACCGCGGACGGAATCGGAGAGGGCAGCCACGAATCCGAGAAAGTGGCGGCCGGCGACGGAGGAGTGAAAACGCTGGATGTCGTCGGGGGAGGAGATGCGCTTCGAAGGGACCTCGAAATGGTAGGGAGGCTTGTAAAGAGGGACTGGCAATGGTTTAGGGACAGGAGTCAGGAGGATCGCGTTGGTGTTTGTTGGAGCGTTAATGGCCGGAGCTCGTATCGGGCGGTACGCCGGCGGCGGCGAGAAGTCGGACCACTGAGGAGACGAAGAGATTGAAGCTGCATCGGTGACTGGGCCACCGCAGGATCCGCAGTAGGCTTGCGGTGGCGGTGGGGTGGAAGCTGTGGCTACGGTCGCCGGTGAAGACTCAGAGGAAGAGGATGCGGTGACGGCGCCTGCATGGAAACCATGTTGATGTTCTGACATTTTTCGAAGTAGGAAATGAAACGGGGAGACGACGGTAAGGCCCCTGCGGGCCGTCATAAAAGCTCGTTCCCATGGTTAAACTTGTTAACGAAGTAAACAAGTATTTAAATCATTACACAAATAAAATTTTAAGGTTGAATTATTAATAAATTGGATATGAATAATTCTTTATCTATCATATTCTTAAATCCTTTAGTTTTTTAATCTTAAAATCCTGTATTTAATCTCAACTATATTCATTTAAACCCTTAATTCTAAAAAAAAATAGTAAGTATATAAGCTTAAAAAGACCACAACTTCCTATTCCCTAACCATTCAGTCACCCTCCCATTGGTTTCTCTCTTTTTTATCTTAAGGGTTGAGAGCCTCATCTCTCATTGTCTTATTTCTTCCTTCTCCGTCACAACTTCCTAAGAGCTCTCGTCTGATCGTCTCTTTTTGTGGGGTTGTGTTGTTTGTGTCGTAATGGGCAAAAGCTTAAAAGAGTGGAAGTCTTACTTGGGTTTCTCAAATTTATCCTCATATATCCTATCTTTCGAATCAGAGTTTAGATCGAAGGCTTACAAGGATTTCTGTTCTTCTACCTTGCTACCTAATATTTACTTATTCAAATGAGAGACTCAAGATTTTAAAATTTGAAGCTTTTCTGAAAGTAGATTATTGTGATTTCTCCCTTATTCTGTGATTTTTTTATGGAGATTTATGTTGAATGTGGATCACTAGATTATTGTTACTTTTGTGAAGGATGGGATTTTTGGAGAATGGAATGTGTTTTATTATTATTTTTTTTTCACTTGATCATTTTGACATTGTTCAAATTGTTGTTTGAATGGTTTGTGTGTTCAGGTTAGTTGAAATTTTAAGGTTCGATTTTACTTATAGCATCCATGTTTCTACAGTTCAATAGTATTGTAGGGTTTATAGTAGATTTAAAGCCACTCTAATATATTTACAGTTTGATTCATTATATATAATGGATTGAAATCCATTGCTTTCTCCTTTAGGTTTAATTTTTTTGTTCATCTAAGGTGTGTGAAAATATTGTGGGCACTTCGATGTCAATTAAAATGTTTCTTTTGTTTATTACATGTATTAATCAATAATTAGAGAACTTGAGAGTTGAGATTTAGTTAGATGATTCAAGTGTAATGTGAGAGCAATGAATTTAATGTTCTCAGGTTAAAGCCATTAGTGGATGCATCTTAGCCTATCATTTTGCATGTGAGATGTTGTCTTTGTTGATGCTTCTCTAAAATATATTGTTCTCATTTGCCTATAAGCGGACAATATTATTTCGTGAAAAGAATATCAATAGGTGTTAATAGTTAGGTACTAAACTTTATGATCCACATTTTTTTGTTGAGTTTTTGTCATAGATGATATCACGGTTTGGCCAAGATTTATAATGACTGATCTTATGTAATTTTTCTCAAGTGTTTTGGATTTTTATCCGACTGATCCTATGTAATGTATTGAAGCTAGAACTTTGAGCATTTGGATCTTCTGTCTTTTGAGATTCTATGTCTAATAGTTTCTTGAAGTGACTAGTTAATAGTATTAGTTCTTTTTACAAGTTTTTACAAATATCTATTTTTTTAGTTTAGTAGATCTTTCTTATTTTTAGAGGCTATTTAATTACCCAAATGTATTAAACTTGTTAAAGTTTGGTCGATGTTGTTTTAAATTTTTTTTTGAATTTTTTCTACCGAAATAAATTTTTTTTTATGTTTTATTGATTTTTTGAGTGTTGGGTGTATCTTGAAGCGCAACAAATAATTTATTTTATTTTGTATTTAGTATATTGTCATGTCAAATTTGGATATTTCTCAAACTGCTTCATCTACTAATGAAATTGTTGTTGAAGTCAAAATTAGCAATGAAAATCCGAATATTATTTCAAGAGACCCAGATGCAGTGGTAGTTGAAACAGGTAATGTTGAAGTCTCTGTTTAGAATTCAAGAAAGAGGAAATCCACAGCTTGGGAATATTTTGTTAAGATAATAATCACAACCAAAGGAATTGCAACTCCTTTTTGATAATGTATATGTTCTCATATCAAATTTTATAAATCTAAGAGTGACATCACTTCACAACTACTTAGGTATGTCAAAAACTATGAACAAATCAAAGCAAAGAACAAATGTCGATTCATTAGATAAAAGAAAAAAAATCCTTAATTTTTTGCCTCATGAGACTAATAAGATAAAAGAACAAGCATGTCGATTCATTAGATAAAAGATAAAAAATCCTTAATTTTTTGCCTCATGAGACTAATACAAATTTTAAGATTCCTATGATTCTTGACTAAAAGAATTATGACCAACATCAAGTTAGAGAGATAATTACCAGAAAGATAGTCATGCTTGAATATTCATTCATGATTGTTGAGCAAACTTTAACAAGTTTAAGTTGTTTTTTGACATTTTGTTGAAATGTTTAAATTCCAATTATGAAATTTTATGGTTTAACATTTTGTTGAAATGTTTAAATTCCAATTATGAAAGATTGCCTAACATTGTCCATAAATACAATTAAAAATGATTGCAAAAAGATCTATGATATTAAAAAAGAAAAGCAACAAAAAATTCTAAAGGATGTACATAAGATTTCATTAACTTCTAATTGTTGAACTTCAAATTAAACAGTGGTTATATGTGTCTGACTCTTCATTATATTAATATTTATGAAATTTACAAAAAAATAATCATTAATTTTATTGAATTGAAACCACCTCATAGTGGTACTTATATTCGTGAAGCTATATGTGTTTGTTCACTAGATTGAAATCTTCACGAATAGTTTATCATCATAATTTTGACAATGTCACTAATAATGATGTTGTCAATGGGTCTCTTAGATCTAATTTTAAATCGAGAGGTAAGCTACATTGTCACGGTTCTTTTTTTCATGTTAGATGTCGTGCACATATATTAAATATTATTGCTCAAGTGGGCTTGAAAAAGATTCAAGGCATACTTCATCAAATACGAAAGGCTATCAAATATTTGGAGAAGTTACCAATAAGACTTCACATGTTTATTAAGATCTCTAAACAATTAGGGGTTTCAACT